TGTACATCAAGAAGCTTCAGAGCTAGATGTGCTTCCATTGTGCTAGGTGCTGCACATGCAGAATGCGAGACAGCAGGGCTGGGATTTGCAAAAACACCTCAGGGAGTTGGGCACTTGCTTTTCAGTGTTATTGGTGCACCAGACTCCTTCATATTCATTGCAGCTTTCATTACTCAGCTCCTTGCTTGAATGCTGCATGATATTTCCAGGGTCCACATCTGGAAATTCACTGTATCTTCTGGCCCACCCTTTACTGGGTACAGGGCCACAGGCTCAGGACCTGATCCAAAGCCCATCTCACTCAGTAGAAGACTCTCCGATGACTTCAGTCAGCTCTGAACTAGGGCCTGTGTGTGCATCTATTCTAGCCCCATTAAGAGCCATCTTCTCTCCATTAACATTGTATCTGGAAGCCTGAATTCTTTCCAGGAGGTTTACCCTTTGGTTTATTGCTGAAAAAGATTCATAAGAAATAAATAAAAGAAAGGGCAACAACAGCAGTAGGAGACTGGAACAACAAGAGGGGAAGAGAAAAGCAAGAAACAAACAAGCTGTCTTGGCCGGGCTGGACAGACAATCCAGCATCGCAACAAGCTGCCAGGATGAGCCCATTAAGGAAGAAAAGTGTTTAGTGTTGTACATTCATCCAGCCAGCAGCAAGGAATGACTGCAGCTCCCACATGTTGCAGGAAATCCCAGGGCTTCTAACAGAAATGAAGCCAGCATCTGTGAGAAAATGTTCGCTCGCCATTTGTGTACACCAGCCAGGACAACACAGCCTGACAAGGCAAGACAGCAGCGAGTCTGCAGGAATACTTCCATCTGCATACAGAATTTATTCCCCTGGGAAAGTCTTCCTCCGCACATGACCTCTGGCTCCCAGAGAGCCTCTTACAAGCACAGGCTGGTCAAGTGTACCCACAAGGTCAAAGTAGCTCCGGCTCAGAGTATGACTTTGTTCCTATTGTTATACACCAGACCCTCTGGTTGGTGCCATCCAGGTCCCTGGCCAGCTACCAGGGGTTGCCAGCTGGCAGATGAACAGCACTGCACGCTCAGCCAAATGAAAGAGGAAGCTGAGCAGCTATTTAAGTGGGGGAAGTTATACAAGCACTGTACTTTGCTGGCATTGCTCATTGCTGGGAGAAGTCACACCACAGCCTTCACTTTGTGACCACGATACAAGAGCCAGTCAGAGGTCTCCCACGGCTGAGATAGTCTGCTCAATACAAAGATCCCAGGTGTGGGGGGAAGCCTGAATCCAGGACTGGACTGGGCAAAAAAAGCAAAAGAGCTTCTGAGGGACAGACCAGGGTGGGGCAAGGGCGGGGTACCAGCTCCCACTGCTGCATGCAGCCGTGTTGCCAAGGCAGTTGTGGTGGCAAGGCTGGAGCTGGGGATTTGCAGAGGCTGTTCTCACTTTGTTGTAAAAGTTCCTCCTGCACTGTACAACCCTGCTGCACAGTGAGCTGGGAGCTACGCTCTGGTCTCTGGGAGGCAGAGTCTGCCCTGCCACCCTCCTGCCTTTTGCTCTGTGCCAAGTTCATATGGCTGCACAGCACTCCCAGGCCGGGCCAGCCAGGATAGGATTACCGAGGACATTCCTGGACACTCTTCAAGGAGCTCATACAACAAGCAATCTGTGTGTGATGCTACAGCATCAACTGCTCCCCCTCGTGCCCTCCCAGTCTCTTAGAAACAGTGAACCAGAGGGGCAGATTTTATTCTGCAGGAATGTAAAATAATCTGTGACTTCAAGGACAGTGGGATGTGTTCTCAATAGGCCTCTTCATTCTCTTCCCTTCCTTCATCTCCTCACTCTACTGTTTCCTAGAAACAAAGCCTGAAGTTCACGACCAGTTCACACTGCTTTAAACATGATCATAATCAAATGCAGAACATGCATGAGTGGTGCAAGAAGCAGCCTTCTAACTAACAGGTGCAGCAGGGAGGGAAGGGGCAATGTGATGCGGGACAAGACACCAGAGCTTTAATATGCTGGCCTGGCATCACAATATGGGTTTCTATCCTCGGATGGGAGCTTTCTGAAAGGCTTTTTAGTTACATACATACATGAATTCCACCCACCTGTAGCTCACAGCAAGCTCTAGGTGGGCACCTAGTACCAAGAAAATTTGGGACTGCAGCAGGTATTTTCCCACAGCCTTACATCAGCCACACTCAGGTTGCAGCTGAAGAGCAAGCTGGGTTTTGTACAGCAATGCACACTGGCCATCAGCCACCTTACTATCCACGTCCACCTCCTCTGTGTATCCCCATGTCACAGGGGCAGAGGCACACTACAGACTTGCTCAGAGTGAGGCCAGAAGGACCAGGAATGGGAGCCCAAACCCCTGCCTGCTAGCCCGCTGCTCGAACCAATAATCTTCTCAACATCTCTCTCTCTCCCCAAGGCCCATGGCTAAGCAAGACTTGAGGGAAGTTTTTCTAGACGATGCTGGACCTCACTTGGCCTGCCGGGGCCTGCCACGTGTCTCTCAAGCATAGGTCAATTGTACAAGAATGCAAGCCCAGAAGGGCCCACTGGGTCACCAAATTCTGAGTCCGTCCTTTGCTACTGCAGATGCCCACATCCCATTCCTAACATGACATACACAGGACAAACCGGACAGTTCTGTGATGGGGTTTCAGAGCAACTAGCTCACAGCAACTTCATCTAGGTTGGAACAACATTTCCCTTACAGTCCCTCATCTTTAAAAGTGAGTTTCCCCCCCACCAAAAAAAGCTTCTAATGGATTCAACAAGTATAAGGGGGAATCCACCCCTAGCAAAATACTGGAGTTGAGGAAAGGGGGAAATGTGTCAAGTAGTAAACTAAAGCACCATCTGAAAACACAAAGTTCAGGGGGTCCTGAGGTCTGCCTGCAAGTTACAGAATCTGTTTCTTCTTTTCAATTTGGGGAAACAACAGGAGCCCAAACAATTTATCTTTAAGAGAGGCTGCTGTCGCAGCATCTAATCTTCTGTGGGATTGTTAATCAAGTAACCTAGCAATACAGGATTTACTAAAGCAATGGGTCAAATCATTGCCCCACTGATCTTTGCATATGCTCCAACTGCCTCAGAGTGGTCAATACCAATGATTCAGGGAATGAAAATGCCCTGCATGACAAGCCTGAGAAAGCTTCCCACGAGCAGCAGATTATACCCTGAAATTCTTTAATTTAGAGGTCCCCAGCCCTCTCAATAAGCCTCTACAACCCCTACTGATATTAGCAAGGATTACCTGCACCCCCATGTGGCAGAGAGAGCTAAATTTCCATAGAACAACTGCCAGAACAGTGATAGTCTTAAAATAAAAGGAACCGTGATCTCAGATAAATAGCTTGTGAGGCTTTATAGCCCCTCATAAACCCTCCCTGCTCTCCTGCATTGCCAGAGATCTTCTTTTAAAGGGAGATTAAAAACAAGAAGGAAATTCATGCCACATGCAGATAACCACCCAGAGGGTGGAAATTCAAAGTAAAGGCTGAAACATTTTTCCTCCCTCTGTGCCTAGGGATTACAGCCATCTGAGGAGGAAGGGGCCTCTGATCATTATATTTATTCAGAGAGGAATATTGTGCTCATTATTACAATAGCTGGATGCATGCTACAGGAATTAAAAACAAATTAATTGCAACCTGTTGCTGCAGAAGCCACCCTAGCCTTCATCTCCTTCAGTCCCAGAAATGCCCCTTGCCAAGAGGCCCAGATTAAGGATGGGGAGGAGCAGGGCAGGAATGGGATCCATCCCACAAATTGCAGTGCTGACTGGGGGCCGTTCACTGGCACCACACCGAGCCAGACCCTGCATTCTCATGGCGAGCTGCAAGCCCCTCAGCTGGCTTCCCCTGCAGCAGGGTGAGCCAGATCCACTACACCCAGCAGCTGCTAAAGGCTGTACCCCAACACCCGGCAGCAGTGACACTTACACTGATCAATTGTCTAAGGGCAGGCGGCATCCAAGCTGCCCAAGACTCAAGAAAAGATGGGTTAAGACCAAATCATGCAACTCTATTGTGGCCAGTGAGGCACAGAAAGTCACAGCAGCCGCTTAGATCATGCTCTAGACTGAACTTCATTCCACACTAGCAGTATCTTGGTACAGAGCCCTGCCGGCCTATGGTGGGAAGGGGCTGGGAAACCTTAACCCTAATCCAGGGCATGCCAGCTCCTCCATGCCAATCTTCACATGGGTGGCGGGGGAGGCTCAGCAAAGATTAGGGAATAACCAAGATGTTTCATTTTCATCTTCGGAGTACTTTAGGAACTTCAAAACCACCATCAGTGAGCATTGGGGCTTCCCAGCAACGCCTAGCTGCAGAGACCTTTCCAACAAGAGTCCACCCCGGCAGTGCGAGCCAACAGAGATCCTAGGGCTGCATTTGGTAGCCGTGTTGGTGCGAGACAGAAAGAAGTGCAAAGCACTACAACTCTCGGTTCAGAGATGATACCTTTTATGAGACCAACTAAGAAATCACAAAACAACTGTACTGTAGGAACTGGGACACCTGGGTATGCAGGCATCAGGCCAGAGGCTGTGCTGCTCTTAACTCGCCACTGTGAACATCCCCTTTCCTTGGACCATGAGACCACTTTACAGGTGGAGGTGCAGCCCCATGCTTACTGATAGGAAAGATGAGGACAAGGAAGAGAGACTGAGCACTGCAGCTCTGGCTATGGTGTCAGGCCTGGGTCTGCTTCCCTGATCAAGGATGTGCGGGAGGGAACGGGTGGGGCACCCGTCTCCGAAGCCAACAGTGCTGCTCCACGGGACGTGTGGGTGAAGAAACACAGATGGCAGCCAAGTAGGTTCAGGGGAGTGAAGCAGCAGGGGATGCATGTCCGCCCCCACAGCACCCCTTCTCTCCGCACTGCGTGCCTGCCCCCGGGCCAGACCCACACCTCGCCTGGAGCCCCTGGCAGCACGGCTCGGCTCGGCTGGGCTGGGCGGCGCGGAGAGCCCCGGGGCAGGGCGGAGCGGAGCGGCTCCTACCTTAAACTGCACGGAGAGCTGCGGCGTATAGTCCAGCGTCCAGAGCGCCCGCACCAGCGCCGCCAGCTGCCGCGTGACCTCGCCGCGGGCGCGGAGCGGCCCCAGCGCCAGGAACTCGGCCAGCAGGTCGGTGTTGCTCAGGCACTGCACCACGGCGTTCATGAAGCACGTGTTGCCGTGGTTCCTCAGCCCCTGCGCCCCGGGCGCCCGCGCCGGCTCCGGCTCCGCCGCCCGCCC